ATATACATATGTATATATGTAATCTATATATGTATTATACACATCTTTATCCATTCATCTTTCGATGGACATTTGGGCTCTTTCCATAATTTGGCTATTGATAATACTGTTATGGATATTGGGGTACATGTTCCCCTTCAAATCTATTTTTGTATCCTTTGGGTATACCTAGTAGTACAATTGCTGGGTCATAGGGTAGTTCTATTTTTAACTTTTTAAGGAATCTCCATACTACCGTTTTTCACAGTGGCTACACCAGTTTGCATTCCCATATACTGTATTTAATGTAACTCGGCAATAAAGCAGCAGAGGAAAAGGTCTATATCTGTAGGCAGCCTGACCTAGAATGAATCAAAGCATTCCTAAGCTTACTCTTGTATGGAAAAGCAAAAGACTGTCCATAGGTGCTTTGAAGTGACAAAAAATACACTAGTGCCAGTTATGGGCACTTCCAAAGTTCAGAAAAATCACTGATTTCTGCCAAACACCATGGTCTGAGACTGAGCATCTGAGCATGGGAGGTGATCACTCACAATCCTGCAGAGAGAGAGAGAGAGAGAGAGAGAGAAGAACCATTGGCTCAGTTGTGATTGTGTGACCTTTGGCATCACATACTACTCATATTTGCAAGACATTGCTCATTTATCAAGTTAAAATTTATTAGAAATGTTTATTAGAAATGTTTGCTTGTCTTGCAGAATACTCACAGAACAAATTACTTGCAATCCAAGATTTTACTGTATTTGGGTCTTGCTTTTTTTTTTAATCTAATCTGATAATTTCTTTTATTAGCGTGTTTAGAACATTTTCTTTTTTTTTTTTAAGTTTATTATTTATTCTGAGAGAGAGAGAGAGAGGGAGAGAGAGAGAGAGAGAGAGAATCCCAAGCAGGCTCCGCACTGGCAATGCAGTGCTGGAACTCAGGAATTGCAAGATCATGACCTGAGTTGAAACCAAGAGTTGGACACTTAACCAACTGAGCCACCCAGGCACCCCTAGAACGTTTTCATTAAAGTGAGTATGAGTATGGCTGCAGTTTTTCTATTTTCCTATCTGTTCTTTGTTCTCTAACCCTCCCTGCTTTTTTTTTTTTTTTTGCCCTCTTTTGGATTAATCAAGAAATTTTTATGTTTCAGCTTACAATTTTTATGATGCAACCTCTTTGTTGACTTATTAGCCATACTTCTTTGCTTATTGTTTTTTAAGGTATTGCTTTAGGGTTTCTTATATACATCTTTAATTTATCTCAGTCTGTCTTCAAGTAAAGAATATACCTCTTTATGTATAGTTAAAAAACCTTATGGAGCACCTGGATGGCTCAGTCGGTTGGGCGTCTGGCTTCAGCTCATGTCATGATCTCACAGTTCATGAGTTCAAGCCCCGTGTCCAGCTCTGTGCTGACAGCTCGGAACCTGGAGCCTGCTTTGGGTTTTGTGTCTCCCTCTCTCTCTTCCCCTCCTCTGTTTGCATTCTGTCTTTCTCTCTCTCAAAAATAAACAAACGCTAAAAAAAAAAAAAAACCTTACAAAAGTATACTTCCATTTTCCCTCACTTAGGTTTTGTGCTATTATTTTCACACATTTTACTTCTACCTATGTTACAAGCACACAATAAATTGTTATTTTTGCTTCAAGCAATTATCTTTCAAAGCTATTTTTAAAATAAGAAAAATGTTTATGCACACATTTACTATTTCTATGTAGATCTGTGTAGATCAGATTTCTATCTAGTACAGACATTCTTTTTTTTTTATGCTTATTTGAGAGAGAGAGAAAGTGTAAGCAAGGGAGGAGCAGAGAGAGAGAGGGAGAGAGAGAATTCCAAGCAGGCCCCATGCTGTCAGCACAGAGCTCAATCCCACAACCCTGAGAACATGACCTGAACTGAAATCAGGAGTCAGATGCTCAACTGACTGACCCACCCAGGCGCCCCACAGCCATTCTTTTTTAAACAGTTTTATAGAGCTATAATTCACATACCATGTAATTCACCAATTTAAAGTGTATATAATTCAATGGTTTTTAATATATTCAAGGAGCTGTGCTACCATCACCATAATCAATTTTAGAATAATTTTAATGTCCAAAAAAGAAAGCATATATACATTAGTCACTCATTTTTGCACAAACCCTTTGACCCTAGGTAACTAGTTATCTACTTGTGTCTCCATGGATGCAGTTCTCTCAGTTTTTGCTTCATATGCTTTGAAACTCTGTTATTAGATGTATAAATATTTAAGATTGTTATGGTTTCTTAATTAATTGACCTATTTTTCATTATGAAATGACCTTCTTTATCATGGTAATATTCTTTGCTCTGAAATCTACTTTGTGTGTTATTATTATAGTCACTCCAGCCACTCTTGACATTGACTCCAAAAGAAACTTTAACTCCAAACATTAACTCCAGGGAAAGTGAAAAGGTGTTCAGAAAAGGAAAATGATTGTAATTTACTACATGGCTAAGCCCTAAATAGCATACATAGTCATGATAATGCAAATGCTGAATATCAACCTATTCTAATTTAAATTCCAGTGCAATATATTGAAAAGGATGGAGGAATGGGAAATGTTTGTGTGTGTGTGGACGCACATACTGAGGAAG